GGTCCTTAGTTTGGGAGGGTGGAGAAAGACATGGTATCTCCCAAATGCCACCTGCCCCACTCCTTGCTCTAGCCGTAACATGCTCCTCTGTCTCCTTCCGTCCATGCCGCGCTGACCAGGGATAGTTGGTATTTAGCTCAGCGACCCTGGGCACCTGCATTCCTGCCCCACTGAGATGAGTGGGGCAGTTCACACCTCTCCAAGCCATTGTTTCAGACTCTCTGTAGACTCAGGCAGACGGCTGCATTGACTCACAGCTTGAGTCGGGAGTGCAAGGAGGCAGCTTGAAAGGGGCAGCGCTCGCTGTCTTGCCACAGCCCGACTCCCCTGCCGGCACTGCCAGGAGCTCTCCGCCAGATCTCACACCCCCTGCACCCTGCTTGGAGAGGTGGCAGTGCTGTGCCCGCTGTGCCACCAGGTGCATTCCAAGCACAGGCCTGCTCCGGGGTGCAGCCGTTGCCCTGAGCTCCCAGCGTGCTCCTCCTGCCTGTGTTGTTTTCATGCTCTGCTCACAAACGTATTTCCTTTGGCAGCCGATGAAGGCGCTGCAGGGCTGGCGCATGCTGCTGGGTGAGGTAGGGGCAGCAGCGGCTCCGGGCACCAGCGCTCCAAGCGCGTGCCTGGGGCAGAAAGCTGAGGGGGGCGCCCTGCCGGTCCCTGCAAGGGCGGCAGCCAGGCAGCCTTGGGCGGCGGGCCTGTGGGAGGTCCACCGGTCCCGCGGATTCGGTGGCGGGTATGCCGAATCCGCGGGACCGGGGACCTCCCGCAGGCCCGCCGCCGAATCCGCGGGACCCGGGACCTCCCGCAGGCGCGCCGCCGAAGGCAGCCTGCCTGCCGTGCTTGGGGCGGCAAAAAAGCTAGCGCCGCCCCTGGGTAGGGGCCACACGGCCACTGCCCTCTGCATCACGAGAGGAGATGCCGCTCATGCCAGCTTCGCTTCAGCGCTCCCTGCTCTGGTCCCTGGGACAGGCTGCACTTGTTCCTCTGAACAGACTGCCAAGAACAGGGACTGGGGGCAGGAGTGGCAGATGCCAGGGCTGGGAGTGGCCCATGGCATGGGCACAGCGGGGGCACGCCTTGCCGTAACTGTAAACGCTGGATCCAGTCTCCTCCCAGCGGCCCTGAGCAGGGGATGATATTTCCAGCCTGAGGCCAAGCAGTACCAGCGACCCTGTGAGCATGCAGCCTAGGGGACTGTGCAGACGTCCTCCCGGGAGTGTGAGCCGGGTCTGGGCATTCCTCTTCCCTGGCCCAGGAGGGTGAAGTGCCAGCGGGGACTACAGCATCCTTGTTTTGGGGAGAGGGGACAGAGTCAGTCAGGGGACCAGACCCGTAGCCTCGGGCCAGGCTCAAAGCCGCTGCACAGATCTAGAGAGCCAGGGCCATGCATGCCAGGAGGGGGCTGGGCTTTGGCGAGCCAGGACCTGCCTCACTCAGTCTCCTCTGGGGAGTGCCCCTTCTTCCCGTCAGAGCCAACGTCCCCTCCCCTGCTCCACCTTTGCTGCGCAGCGTCGGGAGCCAGGGCCCAGCCACTCCCCTGCCACCCAGAATTGCCCTCACCCGGGCTGTGTGCGCAGTGGGACGTGGGGCAGGTTGGTCTGGGAGGGGGGTGGCTCTTTCTGAGATGACCATTGCTGGGATTTGGGGTGAAACTCCCCCCAACCTGAGGTGCTGTTGTGCTGGGGCCGGGGCCCTGTCCCCAGGGCAGAGCCAAGCAGGCTCCTTCCCCTCCCCCGCCTGTGTTTACTGAGTGCCTCTGGAGAGCTGAGCAATAAGCCAGCATGGGGCTGGACATGTGTTTCCATTTATCCCAAACAGCCGTGACTCACTGCTGGGCTCGGGGCTGGGGGGAGCTTCCTCCAGTGCCTCTGCGGAACATTCCCAGCAGGGGCCTGCTGCCCCCCAAAACCATCTGAGAGCAGGGGAGCCTAGCCCAGCCCACTCTGAACCCCAGAGCCCCCGGCTCCCAGCTCCAACAGTGCTGTGGGGCCCCCAGCCCTCCCAGCGGCTCCTCTCTCGCTGCTGGCTCAACCAAGTCAGCTCTGGCTTTGTCTTGGCGTCTCTCTCTCTGGGCCACCCCCAGTCCAGCTTCCTCTCAGTGGGCCTGGCCCATGCCTCCCACCCCCACCACCTTGGGGCCCTTCTCTTCCTCCTGCTGTAGCACCTGGGTTGGCCAATCCCTCTGTTGTCACTCCCACCCCATCGCAGGTACCGCCTCAGTTTCCCCTGCTGAGCTCCTTAGCCACATCTGCCACAGGGCCTCGGCCTCCAGCATGGCTGTGATTGGCAGTAAGGCAGCACCCCAGGGTCTGGTGCAGACCGGGGTGCCACCCTGCTGTGTGTGCTCCAAACCCCATCACCCCCATTCCAAGACAGCCCCATGGCCATTCCAGAGCCAAGTTCCCAACTGTCCTCCCCCATCTGGCCCCAGCCGGCCTTGAGGGTTCGGCCCCTCTCTAGAGCCGTGCCCCATCCTTCTGTGACGCTCACTGTCCACCTCAGTATCAGAGGCCAGTGCTGCTGTTGAGGGGGACTGTGATGGGGCCTTCACCCCACACCAGTCCTGAAGGGGTTAAGGTGGCTAGACGGGCCAGTTAACCACATAGGCTGCTCCTCCAGGGGAACCAGAGCTCAATAATGCTTAATTAAGGCTGAAGCTGCCCTGGGCAGGGCTTGTGAAAAGCTGAGAACAGAAGGGCAGGTGCAGGGGGCAATAGGCTGCAGTCACCCCCTGACCGGAGGGAGGTGTGTTAGCAATGACAGGCTCTGGTACGAAGCCCAAGGGGGAAGTAGCCATGGGAGCGGAGGAAGCTCGGCCAGGCAGAAGGGGGAAGTAGGCCGGAACCTGGGGAAGTAGCAACCAGGTCTGGGAGTGAGTGGCCCATAGCTGCGGGGCACAGGGTCCCTGGGCTGGCACAGCTTGGAATGGCAGAGAGATGCTGACAGACCCGGAAAGGGGAGGACTACAGAGACCTGGCTAGAGGGCCGAATTGCAATGAATAAGACTATGCTGAGTCCTGGAGGGGAGAGAGAGCTGGAGGGGAGCATGAGACGAGGGGCTGAGGGCCTGTGGGAAGGGGCCGTGGTGAGCTAATCCCCAGACGAGCCATGAGGAGGCGTGGCAGGGGTGACTCATGAATCCCGTTACAGGGACACAGTGAGGAGGGCGTCCTGTGCATCCCACCGCCCAGGGGACAGCCCTGGCAACGCAGGGAGAAAGGAAAGGTGCAGCTCACCAAATGTGACGCTGATTCCAGCTCTGCCCTGGGCTAGCTCTCAGGCACGCTGATATTTAGTACCCGGGCATAAGCATCTGGCTAGAACAGACGTCTCCTCGTTGAAAACCCACATCTCTGGGTGTTTTAAGTTATTGGGACTCCAGAGAATGCTTGAAAATCGTGTGCCCAGCAGTGAAACAGCAGAAGTGTTGGGATATAATGTATTGTCTTTAGGTTTCAGAGTTAACACCCCACTGAGGTGAATGGGGCAATTCATCCTCCTCCAAACTATTGTCTCAGACTGTCAGCGGACTCAGGTAGGCGTTCGCCCAATGCTCACACGTGGGCCACATCTTTGTTGTTTCCTGCCATCCAGGAGAACATGGCCTTTTCTCCAGTTCATGCCGAGATGGGGAGCCCAGGGCCATGGCAAGGAGCGGGGTTGTGGCTGCTTGATCGTGACGTTGAGCTGGAGTTCAGAGCAGACTGTCCCTGCGGTGTAGCGGGCAGTACTGAGTCCCCACAGCCCTGCCAGGCACAGCCACAGAGCCACGCGTCCTCCCCACTCTCACGCGGAGGCAGGGACTGCTGGAGTGCCTGAGCGCGGAATGACCAGGAAAGTTGTGTCCGCTGCATGTGGTCGTCAGTGTTACACAAAGCCTGCCTCCTCCAGCGCTGAAACGGAGGCCGGTGGGCAGCCAGGCCCAGGCTGAGTGTCAGGGGGCTGCACTGAGGGCTGTAGGGCCCAGAGAGAAGATCTGAGCTCTGTGTGCACAGTAAAGGACGAGGGTCTGGAAAGTGGCACATTGGTGGGTGTGAGCAGCGCTCGGTCCCAGCATGGTGGGAGAGCAGTTGCCTGTGGTGCTCAAGGGAAGAGAGATGGGGAAGGGGGGGGGCACGAGATGGGAAGAGAAACCAGGAAATGCTTGGGCACATACATAATCACAGCCCTTGGAGGAAATGTACTGCTCCGCTCAGCACTGGCCAGCTGCCACCTCCACGTGAGGCCGAGTCTGGGCTGGTGCTGATGTCGCAGCTGTGGGCCCTTGGCTCCTGAGTGCAGGGGGGAGGGGGGGGGTGGCTGTGTGATGGCAGCAAACCTGCCCCTTCCCCCAGCGCTCACATTTCAGGGGAAGAAAATAACCCCCTGGCCGTGATCCTCTTCCTAAAATACCTGCCAAGCTGGCATGCCATGGCCCTCTGCGCCCAGGGAGGGGCAGCGCTCGCGGCTCCTGGGGAGGCACCGGTCGCTGCCAGGGTGAGGTTACTCCTGCCAGCGGTGGGGGGCTCTCTGGAAGGTGCTGCCCCCATGGGATGGGACGGAGCCCCACAGGAGGGGGCACGCTGCAGCGGTGGCCTTGCTCTCATCCCCAGTGCTGGGCCCTCTCCCCGCTGGCCCACGGAGCCGCCTGGGGCACCCTGCTAACCGCGGCCCAGGCCTGGGCACTGCTGGGGCTGACCCAGAGGCTTAGGGTCCGTTGGCACGACCCATCCCAGCCCAGCAGCAGAGGTGACCCCCCAGGCCTGGGGGGAGCAGAGGGGGCACAGGGCTGGGCCTGGAGCCGGGCATGACTTGCCCCAGCTCGGGGGGGCCCTGCCCCGCGCCAGGGGAGCCGGACCCCCGCCGCAGGCCCGGGGGAAGGAAGGGGCGAGAGCGAGCGAGCTGCTGAGCGCAGGGCCTGGCCCCGTGCCACGGGGCGGAGCAGCGGCCAGCCCCGAGCGCGTTAAAAGCAGCTTTGGCGGCGCAGCGCAGCGCAGCAAACCCTCCGCGCAAGGGAGGCAGCCGCGGCGTCTGCAGGCCCGGCGGGACGGGACGGGAGCGCAGCGCCTGGCTGGATGCGGCGGCCCCCACGGGCGCTCTGAGACCCGCAAGATGAGCGCTGCTCTGCCCAGCCTGCTGGCCTGGCTGGCGGTGCTGCTGCTCGGGAGGGCGGCGCGCCCGGCCGACGCCTGCAGCTGCTCCCCGGTGCACCCGCAACAGGCCTTCTGCAACGCCGACCTGGGTAAGAGGCGCCCCCGCCCCGGGACGCGACTCGCCCGGCCCGGTCCGGTCCGGCTGCCTGCGGCGGAGCGGGGCCCGGGCCTGCGGCCGAGCCAGGGATCGATCCGGGCCGGGAAACACAGACCGCCCCGCGGGAGGGGCCGGGCGCCGCCGAAAGTTGGTGCGGCTGGGCTGAGACGTGCGCCCGGGCCGGGCCGGGGGGGTCTGGAGCCCGGGCTCTGGGGGCTGCGCTGGGTTGCGGCGCTTGAGCAAACGTGAAACTCTTTTCTCCGCCGGGGACAGGGGGGCTCCGACTCTGCGGCCCCTGGCTCGGAGCTGCCGGGCAGGGGTGCCCGAGCGACAGGAGGGGGGGTGCCGGCTGTGATGGCTGGGCAGGGAACTCACTTACCTCGGGGCAGGCCGCGCGGGGAGTCGTAGGAGGATGGATTGTCCAGGATGAACTTTAGTGTGCCTGAAATAGGCGCCCGCCCCCCACTTTCCAGCCCTGTTTGGTTCACTAGGATTTATTTCTGGGTCCAGGCTCAGGCCGAGCCCTGTGCCCACGCCAGGGGCAGCGCTCTCGCTGCAGCCAATCAGCAGAGCGGAGCCGGGGCGCTGCTCCCTGCGGAGAGCTGAGTTCAAGGGCTTGCTGCTGGCCTGGTACTGCTGGGGAGCTGGCCCGTCACCGCACCGGGAGCAAACAGAAGCCCTGGCTGCTCCCGCCCCCGTTAAAACCCATCCGAGATTAGTCTGCCCTGAACAGAGCTGTTTCCCTGGGGTCCTTGGCAGGTCAGTCCCAGTCCCGGACTTGGAGGCGTCTGTGACGGAACAAGGCACCTGCAACCCCCACCCTGCCGGGGAGCCGGGAGCCAGACAGGGTGGTGCTGCCCGAGAGGGGCCTGGCCAGGGCTCCCAGGGACTGCCCTGATTCAACACCTCTCCCCAGCGGCCTCAGGCTCCCGTGGAGCCTTCCCAGGGCAGGAGCCGCTGGTGTCCCATCTCTGCCCAGCAAGCGCTGAGCCAGCCCGTGCACGTGCGAGCTGGACTGGGCCTGGCTCTGGCGAGAGACCGGAACAGACGCCTGCTGTCCTCCTCGTGTGCCATCTGCCTCTGCCGCTCGGGCCATTCGCCTTTCCGCTGAGACTCCTTTCTGCTTCAGCTGTTGCCATCAGCTCTGCCACCTAGCTCCCTGCTCCCTCCAGCCTGTGGGACCAGACACACGCGGCCTAAAGTGGGGCCTCCTGACTTATCTCCTCTTTCACCACCTTGCAGTTATCAAATTTATTGCACACTTTATGGTTCCCTGCAGTAATGCCTTTAAGCCTCGTCGTCCTCCCGGCCTGGCTGGATTGGCCTGCTGGCGTGTGGGAGGCTGCGTAGACGAAGCTTAAACAGCAACACACCCGATAGTGACGTCTTGTAGCTCTCTCCGGACCCAGCGCCAGCCTCAAACCGAACTTGAGCTTCTCCGGGTTTGTGGCCTCAGGGCTTCTGCCTGTTTAATTGGAGGTGGTGCTGGGTGGGAGAGGGTGTGTCAGTCCGTGCTGCCAGGAGTGTGCCTGTCTGGTAGGGTGAGAATCCCCAAGGCCTTTCTCGCTCTCTGGGTTCTGAATCCATCAGCGGGGACGGGAGGAAGAGCCTCCTCGAAGTCTTGAGCTTTGTTCTCTGCGTCCCCGCGCACCCGTTCCCCCGTGCTCAGCCTGGGCAGTGGGCCTGTGGCGGGCGAGGACCAGGCACAAATGGAGCTGTCTGTTCTGGTGGTTTGGCTCAATACAGCTGAGCCCCTAATGACAAAAACTAGCATTGCACGTTGCCATCTTGATTGACTCAAGCTAGCGGTGACGCCCTGGGGAAGGCGAGAGCTTTGTCAGTGCTGTTGCTGATTGGACGCTGTGCCCGAAGGGTCCGGTCGGGAATGCTGAGCAGAGAGCCGGGCCCTGCCCTGGGGAGTGGGCCGTGTTGGGTTGGGTCACCTTCTGTCTGTTCCTTACTTCCAGGCATTTCCTTTCCTCCATCCCAGTTTATTCGGCTTGGATGCTGCTGAAAGGGCGGCCTTGGCAGGGCTGGGATCTGGATTCCTCTTTCTATGAATAATGCCCTTATTGCATTTAACATATTAAACAAACTGAGCCCAGTCCCACTGCCTGCCGCACTCCGGGGCAGTGCCGTGCCATGCCACAGCACCCAGGTTTGGCTGGAGAGAGACCTTCTGAAATACTTTGGCAGCTCCGATCGGCTGACAGCCCAGCCCCCTTCCATCACCGCACACCCTGTGCTGCCCCATTTTCCCCTCGCTCCTGGGTGCCCAGTGCCCCTGGCTGGCCTCCCTGCTTTGGGGGCCTCACCCCTGCCCCCCCGAGTCTCAGGGCCCCGCTGTTTGTTAGGGACTGTGCAAACTGATTTAGGGACAGGAAGGTTTTAGACAAAGTGAAGCCGCATCAATCTGAGCTGCTGGATTTCCCCGAGCTTTTCAGTGGGAGCTGGGCAGGGCGCTATAGCTGCAGTTCACCGCACATGTCCGCTGGCCTCTGTGTCCCTTTCCTGCCCTCCTCCTCCCAGGCTCCCCACTCCTCATGCAGGCTCCAGCCTCAGTGGTCCCTCTGGATGGTTCATCCGTGACAGGGCCTTGGGGGAGTGACTAAAGCAGGAAATGCTGCTGGGAATTGGGCTGGGGGATGGGCACTCACCTGCCCTAGTTGGGATCCTGGCCATGGTCGCACCACTCGTCTGGCTGCGAAGTAAAACCCACCTGTGAGTGAGGAGAGAGCTCCCCAGCAAGCAGCCCCCAGCAGGACAGAGACCTGGCCTGTGGCCCAGTGAACGCTGCCGAGGAAGAGGCAGATGGTGCCCTTGGCACTGACCTGCACAAGCTTCTCTCCCGCATTGAGGTGACAGGCTTTGGGGCATTGATCCCGGCTGGCTTGATGCCGTCTCTCTCGGTTGGGGGGTGGGGTGTATGGGGGGCAGGGAGGGGCAATGCGGCTAGCACGCAGGGCTGTGGGGCATGGCTGCGGTACAGGCCCTAGGATGTCAGACTTCCAAGGGGCAATTCTCTGGCCCATGTGATATGGGTGTTACCTGAACGCTCTAGGGCACCCACCTCTGCCCTTCTGTGGGCTCAAGGCGCAACCGGGTTAGTTTAGGCACCTCCACCCTTACCCTGTTCTGAGGGCTTGGGGCCACCCATACCCAGTTCCTAGGGCTCAGGGCGTATTCTTCTGTGGGTTTGCAGGGTCTTTTGCCAGTGAAGGAGCCTTACACCGTAATATCCTTAACCTCTATTAACAGTCATCAAAACAGACTGCACACGCTAAGCAGACAATGCTCGCCACTCCCAGTAAGGCAGACGGACTTTTCCTGGGGGCCAGTCAGGATCAGGTCGTCCGGGGCCTCCCGCTTCTGCACAGTATGGTTGGCCGGGTGTTGAGGTCTGGCAGCTCTGATCCTGGGCTGTGTTCTGGAGTGGGTTCCAGGGAACTTCCTTTTGGACCCCAGTTTATATATTTAAAACTTGAGTCCTGATTAGCTGTACTGTAACCAATCATTGTAAACTAAAGTCCTACAAGACAGTATTTTTCACCAATACCAGCACATTGTGAAACAATTCTTTACCCAGTCAGATCCCACCACCTTAGTTGACTTAAATCGTACAAAATTAGTTATGCAACAGACAGAAACAATGAAAGAACCTGACGGAGACCCTACAGATAGTCCCTACTTCTCTAGTGTTTATCAAGGCAAAACAAGAGAAGTGGAGATTTCACAATCACAACTGTTGTAGTGGTTCCTTGCCAGACAGGATGCATCAAACAGCATTTTCATCAGACATCTTGCAATCGGTTTCTCTGGTGGCGGCCGCGGTGCTGCTAGGACAGGAGCCTCCTTAATAGCCTGATGGGACATTGTTGTGATGCAATTTAGATGGAATGTGAGGATGTGACTTTCTGCTTCTTAGCTCCTGGCGGCAGCTGCTGACCTAATGTGGCTGCAGAAAAAGGCCCGAGACTCAGCCTGGACAATCACAGTGGTCCCGCCTGGCATTGGGCTCCGTGATGCTGCTTGGGTGTCTCCCTGCACTGGGCCGTGCATGCCGCCTGCTGGGAGGGGGGTATCTCTCAGAGTCCAGAAAGCCGGCTCTGCCTGGGCTGGGGGAGCCTGGCTGGGCACGGAAAGCCTGATTTCTAGGCAAAGCTTTAGGAAGGGGGGAGTAAGCATTGAGCTTTGGGTAGTGGGGGCAGCGGGGCTGCAGGGAGGGGCACCAGGCCAGGAGGTCTTGAATTTGTATCTTGGCTGCTGGTGACTTTGGGCAAGTCACTTGGCTTCTCTATGCATCTCTTTCTCTGCCCCATGTCCCCCTCCTCCTGTGTTTGGGGGAGACCTCAGGCCCATGGCCCATTGGGGGGTGAGACCAGTGCAGGGAGTGCTGTTCCCCTCCCCTCTGCAGAAGCCAGCCCAGGGTTTGCCTCATGGCCCTGGGGCCACTTCCCTTTCCTCTGACCCTGACTCTGCTGCCTTGTTCAGACTGGAGTTCTCCTGGGCTAGTCTGCAGCCCAGCCAGCCCCACAGAGACCAACGCAGCCTCTGGGCAGGCTGCAGCTCCCGGCTTTCTGGAAGGACTCAGCCCGTGGCCCTGGCCCCACCGGCATATTCCTTGAGGCCTCAGGCTCTGGCTGGTTAGTCACAAGCCCTGGGGAAGTGCCTGAGGCCAGCAGCACATGGAAATCCTCCACAGGACAGGAGGAGCAGAAGGGGGAGGCTGGGCAAGTGGGGACTCCAGCTCTGATAGTCCCCCAGCGTTCAGCCAAGGGCTGGGAGGCTGCAGCTCGCTCTGGAGTGGCTCTGCCTGTGCTGCAGCAGGGCTGGGCGAGCGTGGCCCGTGGCTGGGGTGAGAACGGAGCCCCCAGGGGATTAGATGCACAGCCCCTGTAGAGGGAGAGCTGCAGGGGAGTTGTGTGGCTGGAGCCCTGCGGCAGTGCTGGAAACCCCAAGCCCTGGCGGCTGCTTCACGTGACGAGTGGAACA